CCTTCTACACACAAACACACACAAACACACACAAACACACACACACACACACATATCTGCCTTGATAAATACACACAAGCACGTACAGTCTATCTTTAAACTATCACTCTTCCTATAGAGATTTAATTAATTTGAGTATTTGTCTTTTCACCGGCAGGAAAGGTTAGTTTTCAGACTGTATGGGGACAAAGGAGAAGTGTTTCTTTGTGCAGGATGAACAGATGGATCTTACTGAGAACCAGAATGGGAGAATAGCTCACCTTAGTTGACGCCAAGCTCTGTGCATGCATGTGTTTGTGCGTGTTGTGCTCGGGCCACGTCGGTTTTTCCGTCCTGTTCCTGCGTGGAACAGTGAGGGGTGGACAGGATGTCCAAATCCCCTCCAGTGCCTTCCCTGTGTGTGTCAGTAAGTCTGTGTCCAATGTTGCAACACCCACTCTTAAATGAAGAAGACGTTGCTTATTACTCTATATCTACATCCATAAAGGCGACAGCATGTATGGCTAACAATGAGCAGGTAGCAGAGTGTGCTCTTTACAGTCTCTTTTCATTGTCCATTGTAGGTTGGCAGCTTCATCTCTTCAATATGCAGCTCTGCACATCCCAACTTTCATCACATTCTGAATTTCTCTTTTGGATCCCAATAAAGGCCTCTAATCTTACACTGACACAGCCAAATTAAATCAGGGTTCATATCAGTAACCCTGTGAAACCCTTGCCTTGTTCACTTTCTGTTTTGATTATTCAGTGAGAATCAATGTGTGTGTGTGTGTTTTTACATTTCTAAGCATACTGGAAATATGCAGAGTTAATCTGAGTATGTTTAACTCTGCTCATTTAAATTACTGCTGTTGGCACCGCCACACTTAAATCTGTCAAAATATAAAAGACAAATGACTTTTATAGAATAAAATTTACTCAAATAGTAACACAGTAGAAGTTCTTCTTCCAGTTGTTCAAAAACCTCGGGGCTACTAGTCTTATTATATATGTATGGGGCCTTTTCACTTTATTAGATAGACAGGAGGGGGGGTGGAGAGAAAGGGGGGATGACACACAGCAGGGGGCCACAGGTTGGACGCGAGCCCACAGCTGCTGCAGCAAGCACCCAGCCTCTGCATATAGGGCGCCAGCTCTACCAGGTGAGCTATGCAGGCACCCCAGGGGCAACTAGTTGACAGTCTCAGATTTTTTGAAACTTTTTTAACAAGCCCTGAAATGTTATTTTTTCTAGCTTGAGAATTGACACTGACTACCTCACGAATCCAGCTAAGAAGAATAAGCCTGCAGGCTAGTAATTTTGACAATGCCATTACATCTGATTGATAACTGGATACACCACTGTTGCTAGGGACATATATTTTTATTTATAGTCTTTACATATGTAGAAGAATTTGTTAAAAATCTCTGACCAGCATGTTGTGCAATTTTGGGCACGGCCTAAAGCAGCAGGGGCCAGATGGCATCTGGTACACTGCAGGTATCATGCAGGTCATCAAGTGGACTGGTTGGGAATGTTGAGATGTGTGTACTTGTGTCCCACCAGTTTAATGTTGATGAATGGTGCTGTGAGTTAGGAGAGCAGAGATGCCAGTGAAAAACCTACAAATTCTGTGTGTGTATGTGAGTTTAGAGACTGTACCTGGGTCCAGTTGCATAAACTTCATTTAAGACTGGTCTTAAATTATCATATTAGACTAGTTAAGCCTGTCTGTTGCATAAATATTAAGACTGACTTAACTTAAAGTAGGGAAGTTAGCCAACGCTCCCCCTGGCTAAGCCTGAGGTGAGAGCTTTGTTTCTATGGCAACGATTTGAGTGTCAGGAGACACGAAGACACAGGTACATTGATCACTTTTGCAACAAAAAAGAAGAGATGCAAATATTACAACTTTCTGACAACAGCGCTCGCTTCATGCTGAAGATGGCAAATGTTCAGTCTCTGGCCCTCCATTCAATTAGCCTACACAAAGAAATTAAATAACAAATAATCTTGTCTATTATTATTTGTTTATTTTTATTACTCAGAAAACATTTGAACTCTCTCCCAGTTCAATTTACACATACATATATAATATTAATTAAATAAAATATTCTAATGAATTAAAACCCCAATAACAAACTGTCTAAATGTGACAAAAAGAAATATAGCACAGCACTCTCAGTAAATTCATTTTAAAACCCGCCTCAATTACAGAAACTTTAAGGTATTACAAGTACACAAACATATTTACTCTTCCATTAACTGCATCTTCAGTTTATCTTGCTGAAGCTTTAAGACCTCGATATCAAGCAGCAATATTCTTTCTTCATGTCGGTATTGTTTCTCAGTATAAGATTCACAGTGTGAGGTGATAACAGGGGGGCGTCAGTCTGCCAGATAGATACAGAAAATAAACTGAAGGGGCTTTGATAAAGGGAGCAGTGCTGCCACTAGGTGGTGACACAATTTATGAGTGCAGATGCAGTTAAAGTGTACAAAACTGAAAGTGTAATTGCAACTTTGACTACATTACTATTATTACTATTATTATTATTATTATGCAGGCTACTGGCAGTCTGTCAACACATTCGGCAGGATAGTGAAGGTGAATATTGGTCACAGCCACTACATCTTCTCAGAAATCATTAAAATAACTGATTTAGTTCCACTTTCTTACTCTGCAGGATCATTCAAAGCTCGTTACTTCCAGTGCATGCGCAGAGCAGAGACCTACCTGCCAACTTTTGCTGATTTGTACAAAACAAAAAGTCCTGTTGAGTCTGATGTCACTGTTGCACAGTTTGCAAGTATTTGGTCGTTCAATAAGGTACAAATTAAAAATATGATCTAGTGTAAAGTCAGAAGATCCTGAGGGGAACATGAATATCTAAATCAAATTCAAAGATCCAGTGTGTAACATTTAGGAGGATTTATAGCCAGAAATTGAATATGATATTCATAAGCACGTTTTCATTAGTCTATAATCACCTGAATATAGGTATTGTTGTGTTTTGTGTCTTAGAATGAGCCGTTTTCATCTACAGACGC